CAATTGAATCAAATTTATAACAAATTTAATTATAAAAACACATATCAATTTTATTATATGTCAACAAGCGTTTTCCATGTTTAAAGTATGAATAAAATTGATGAAAGTGGAAATTAATTTTCTTCCCCATAAGAATAACATTGTGTCGTCTGTTTGTTGTCCCTCCAGGCCTCTGACGTCACACCTAGAATCGACTCTGACGTCACAAGTGACAGAGCCTAATGTCTATCCTTCTCTAACTCATTCTTCCGGTTGCGTTTGCGATTACGATTCCGGTTGCGTTTCTATTCTACTCAGGCTTTCATTATACCTTATAATTCCAAAAACTAGAATAGGCCGTTTCTCCATCCTGTCAAAAAGCAGGGTGGAGAAGGTTTCAAAAATACAGGGTGTTCAAAAAAATATGGAAACTTGCAAATATCTCGAAAAGATTTTCGTAAAAAATGTTCAACAAAAAAGTTGTTTCCAACAAAAAGATCCACATTTTTGAACTCAAAACATTGGGCCCAGAACTCAACAGTGAAAAATGAAATATCACGAAAATGCCTACTTTTCGAGATATTTGCAAGTTTCCATACTTTTTGAACACCTTGTATAAAGATATGGTATATTACGGACGTTCTACTGGAAATTTACAAACAGCTATTTCTAGTTTGATTATGTTCCATTTTCATCTGTCACATAATGAAATTATTATTTTATTCTTTTGTTACCTCATTGGGAATTAGAAAAAATTGTACAAAAAAAAATTGTTTGTAATATTGAAAAATTTCAAAACTTTTCAATGCAAGTGCCTTCTTTATCAGGTAGATTAAAAAATTATAAAATCTTTTAAAAAAAATACTAACGGTCTTTATTTTTATTTTTCATTTATTTCTATTTTTGAAACATCAAGATCTTTTCTCAATATAGAAACAATGTCTCAGAAAACAATGGTTTTTACATTCCCATTCGTTTGGTTAGAATGCCAAGTTTTAATCATCATATATATAAAACATATATAACAAAAGATACTTTTAAAATATATTTTGTATATGAATGGGATATCTTTTAAAAAACATTGATTCTAAATTCAAACAGTGTTAGAAAATATTATACTCTCAAAAGATTAAGATCTATTAATGAACAATACAAAATACGACAAACCATATGCAATACTAATTGCTCTTAAACGTAATAATTTCCTGAAGTGGAAGGAAACACTAATGAGACTAAAACTGGAAACGTATGCTAAAATTATATAATGTCACTTATTTATTAATGATGAGTAAATAAAAGAATATTGAATAATATACTGTTAACTATTGTTATTCAGAAAATAATAATTTCTTTAAAACAAAAATTATTTTTAAATATCACTTTTCAAGACGTTAAAAATCTAATTTTTTGTTTTTAAATTTGTCAATTGGATCTCGAGAAAAATTTTTTTAAGACGGCTAAAAATTTCAATTGTTTATAACTTTAACAGCAAAAATAATGTTTTTGGGAAATATTTTCAGAAATTTATTTTGATAGCAGTAGGAGTAAAAAAAAACCATTTAGCATTGAAAATTAATTTTTTTTTGGAAAATTTTCTGTGATTCATTTGAAAAATTTTGACCCACATATTTCTAACTATTCAATAATATTAATGGAATAAAATTAATTTTTTTAAATTAATAATTAATAAATCTATCAATAATTAATTAATAGTTAGTTTCTTTTTTTATGTATGAACATTTTTTTTAAATTAAGAATAATTTCAGGAAGCCAATTATTATACTTTATTCTGAAATCAAAATGTACACTCAACAATTTATGAATCTTTTACTAATAGAAAATATGTAAAATATTTCTGGAATGTAAGATGAACTTCTGCAATTTTCATAATTTCTCTAAAATTTAGAAAATGTAAGGGATTTTCAATAGTAAATATATAATAATAAAATGCTTGGTCAAGTGTTTTTTTGAATAGTAATCTTATGACGTGTCAAATTTTGACAATTCTTTTTCTCATTTTTGCCAAAGTTGTATAATTGTGTTTCCAAATTTCGGAATAAGTTTCTTTAAAATTCCAAATTCGAAAATTCAATTCACGAAGCTGAAGTACACAACGTTTACCAACGAAATTTTTTTTAAAGTTATATATATTGATTCAAAAATTGTTTACAAATACAAAAAATTTATGATGAGAAAAAAGATGCGCCAGAAAATTTCGTACAAGATAGTAATTTGAAAAAAATTTATTTTTAAAAATTAATTTTTAAGGTACTAATTATAAAAACACAGGCCTCGAATCAACTTAAAGACACAAAAAGTCGTTTTAGTCGATTTATATTCCAAAAAAAGTGGATTTGTTTTTTATTTTAACAAAAATATTTTACAGATTTTTAAATAAAAAATTTTTTTTTAATAATACTCCTTTTCGAAGGGTTAAAGTTGAAATTTTTAGAAATAATTAAATTTCAAAGATATTGTTAATTTTCAAACAATTATTAAATTTCACAGAACTAAAAATAATTTATCAAACAATTTTTGGAAAACATTTTTTAAATTTAATTGAATTTTCAAAGATTTAAAATTGAGAATTTTGAAATTAATTGAAACTTTAAGTGTTCTGTAATTAAAATTTTAGATGATTTCACTAAAAATTTATTAGAAAATGCGGACAAAATACAATAATTTGAAAATCATTTTTAATTGAAAAATGGTTTCAGATAGTTAAAATTTCAAAGAATATTATTAAAATAGTTAAAAATAATTGAATATCCTTAGAGTTATAATTGAAATTATTAAATTTTCAAAAAAAAAAAATTTTCGATGGAAAATTTTAGAAATAATTAAATTTTCGATGCTTTTAAATTCAAATTATTGAAAATTCAATTAATTTTGAATTAAAAAAAAATATATATATAAAATATATAATAATATATTGAATTTCAGTTCATTTTGAATTGAAAATTTTGGGAAATAATTGAATTTTAATTGAAATTTTGGATAATAATTTAATTGAAGTTCATTTTTGATTGAAAATTTGGATAATTAATTTTGAATAGAAATTTTAGAAAATAATTGAATTTTATTTCATTTTAAATTGAAAACTTGGTAAATAATAAAATTTTAAATTGAAAATTTTGGATAATTATTGGATTTTTAATTGATTTTGAATTAAAATTTCAGGTAATAATTGAATTTTAGTTTATTTTGAATTTAAATTTTTAAAAAATAATTTAATTTTATTGTGATATTTTTTTTTAAATTATAAACAATTGTTAAATTTCATAAAAATTTTAATTGAAAAATAATTTTGATATAATTGAATTTGTGATGTATTTCATTAAAATTATTAAAAATAATTAATTTAGTGAAGAATCATTTTAGTTCAAAATTTGTTAAATAATTGAATTGAAGAAGATCTGAAGAAGATTTACATTTTATACTAAAAAAATGTATTTTATTTACATTTTTTTTCAAATGTAAAAAAAATGTCGCATTTTATTAAAATAAGTCGATAAAAGTCGTATTTTTGAAAAAAGAAAAGTCGGAAAAAGTCGTATAATCCGAGGCCTGTAAACACATAATTTTCATTATTATCATTTAATATGTAATAATATTCTAATAAATTAAATTATTATTGATAATATTAATCTTTAATTTCTTTATAACAAATAATTAAATACCCAATTTGGCGCGCTTGCGCGCGTTTAATTTTGCTAGTAATTATGCAAAAGAATAGAAATTTTTATGCAAAAAAAAAAAAAATTAAAAATCTGAAAAAGAAATTTTTATACTACCTAATAGAAATGAAATTCTTTTCTTTTTTTTCTAGAAAGTGAGTGTTACAGGTCACGTAATTACAGCAATGTTAATTTGTCGGTCACTTTTCTCATAAAATACTAAATGAATTGAACTGAGATTTTGTGAATCTTACGAGAAAAGTGACCGACAAATTGAAACGTGTTGTGGCAATCACATGACTTCACAGTCACATTATGTTAATATTAATCTTGGAATGGATTTGTTAAGTCATTAGCACTTATTTAAATCGACAATTTTTTTCACGTCTTTCTCATGATTCTCTGATACTTTATCAATTGTATAAATTTTGAAAAAATTCAATTTTTTCATAAACTAAAAATTTCAACATGATAAGAAATAATTTATTTTTTTTTTAAATTTAATAATATAGAATAATTTTAGATCGTAGAAAAAATTGATGCCTGATGAATTAAAATTTTACTTATCCCTTTACTAATAATACTTTTTTTTATAAATAATATACTCTCTAAATCTATATTAGTACACTGAAAAAAATGTATTGAATTCAAGTAATCGATTACTTGACTACTATCAAATAAATATTTGCTTGAATCAAATAATTTTTGAAACCAAATAATTTAATTAAATAAATTATATTTGAACGAATAATTTGTGTCTGGAATTTTGAGTAAATCAAAAAATGAATTTGCGCACAAAAAAAGATAATTAAGCACAATATTTGCTTTATGGAAATTTTAGTTTTTTATATTTCAAATTTTTTTTTGTTTTTCTGCTCAGAATTTTGAGTTTTTCAAGAAATGAATTTTTTTAGAAATGAGCACAAATCGATCACAATTGAGCCCAATATTTGTTTTTAGAAAATTTTAATTTCAATTAGGTTGTTCAAGTTGGGAGGGGAGAAATCTAAAATGGCGATTAAGCGGTGCACCAACAAACATAAGAAATGTACAGGATGAAGTCGAATTTTTTTAATTTCTCGCTTAAATGAACTTTTGGAACCTAAGTGTATTAGGATTTTAGTTTCTATTTCTAATTACCTATTTAATACAATAATAATAAACGATTTTATTATTTTAATAAATTTTATTATTAAATAGGTAATTAAAAATAGAAACTAAAATCCTAATACACTTAGGTTCCAAAATTTCATTTAAGCAACCTAATGGTCTAACTTGATAAAAAGTTATTGATATACTATATATTATATAGATGTCAGGGGATAATAAGTGAAGAAAATAGGATTCAATATGTTTTACGTCTTTATTAAACAAACTCCAACATTCGAAACATTGATAGACTCGTTTGTTTTGCATTCGCAGACTAAAAGTAGTGTATGCTTCATTTTAAATAAGAATATTTATGTGCAATAAATACAATATTATAACTTTCAATATTTCCTCACATATGCTTTTTTATATAAAAAAATAATGTAAAACCCTGACGATTTACTATTTACATGAAAAAGTACACATAAATAATAAACATCAGTAGATTTTTTTTTATAAAGTAAGTTTAAATTCTTTATAATAAAATTATATGTCCGGTATATTTTGAAATTTTCAAACATTAACAATTTGAAAGTTGAATATATAGTACCTACTATTTCTAGTGACAGTATTTTATGAGGATAAAATTATTTCAAATAAAATTGAAGCTTGTACTTTTAGTCTGTAAATTTAGTGTATGTTTATACTAAATAATGTGTAACTCGTATATGTTTATATGTAAAATGGTAACTGGGACCAACTGGGACATTTCGTAAATTTGTTTTGGAGATAGGTCACTATGAACATGTGACCATATTCGCCCAATTCCTTCTTCGCTCTTTGGTTTCAGTTTCGCTTTCACGAATCAACAAAGTAACAGACAATAAATTTCTACAATAACAAGAAGCTACTTTTTGATTTATACTTATAAAGATATTATGTTTTTTTTTTTAATGCACTTTAAACTTAACACTTTAAAAGCTTTACATAATGCAATTAAATGACAAAGGCGCCAACTGAAACACGAGCGTCTTTCTTCCTAAATTTAAAGATGGCCCCAAGCACGGGTGTTTGTTTTTTTTGCACACTCACACACACACACACCAGGGATGCTTACATGTTAACATCCTCTACGTGGAAGCTGTTTTCTCTCTATTTACAACTGGCTGCATTGTGCGTTTAATTTTTACGTATTATTAAATATTACGTATCTTCTTGTTGTCCGATTTATCTCAGTCTTTTAAGTTTTCGGAGATTACTTTTTTTTTTAAACTCGAGTATTCTTATTGAATAATAGGAAAAACGACTTTCACTGTTTTTGATTTACCTATATAGGAGCAGTTCGCTTGAGACTTGTAAGCACCCCTTTGTTGTAATATCAGCGATAAAATAATAAATATAGGGATGGATCTGTGCACTCCATTCACTTCACAACAATTATCCACAAAATCATATATTAAAATAATAGCCAGAATTGTTTTTTTTTATACATTACGCCCAATTTATATACTTTATTCGTTAAATAATTTTACACATTCAAAATACCATCACTGAAACTACTTTCTGATGGTTACAACTTTAACTTCCAATTCCTAGAATAATTCCACTTGGTTTTCCTCAATCCCATGTTATGTTCACATATAATTAATTCCATGTGTCCCTTTTACTACACACCAACTTCACTTTAAATCACCACATTGATCAATTGAACAATTGATTGTGAATAATGGTTGGCACTTTCCATCTTCTCATGCTAGCATAGATATCAGAATTTTTATGAAATAACTTTTAGCAAATATTTAGAGAATTCACCCTTTGAAAGATTATTTCCTCGATTATTTCAGAGAACGATATCACTTTTTTTTTAGTATCACTAGTCCCTTATCACCTATATTTCGAACGGAATTTTTTTTTTTTACACTGAAATTTCCTGAATTTGAACTCGTTTCTTGGCACTTCCCGGAGTGCCGGGTTGTCGTAATATTCCAGGACAAGCTAAAGCAGCAATATTAGGCGCTGGAGCTTTTGGCGGAGGTGGTGGTTCAGGTAGTCCATCGTCTATTTCAATGTCATCATCGTCATCTCTGCCAACTGTTGCATCAACGCAGGGTGATGGTGTTCGGGATCGTTGAAGACAAGGACTTCTATTATAAGTTGGAGGATCCATTAATCTCTTTCCACCGGGAGGTGGTGAACATTGAAATTGTTGTAGTGTCATTTCAAGTTCATCGACTAATTTCACTTTATGTGAGGGTGGACTTGAAGATAAAGAATCAGTTAAAGCAAAAGTGGAGAGTCTTCGTTTATTGGATGTTTCAATACCGGAGCAACCAGCTTCAAGAAGCTCTTCTTTCTTCTTATCACCAAATCCACTTAAACTTGAAGATGAACTCCTTTCACGTTGATGGTAAATACCAGCGAATATCAATATATTCAAAAGCAAGAGGAAGACACCAACGGCGATAGTTACTGTTAATGCTGTTGTGTAACTTTGATAATGACTGGAGGCCAGTTTCCGAAGAAGATTATTAGGACCTACTCCAAGATTGGATTGTTGACTTTTAACGGTAGTTGGAATCATTGTTGTTGTATTTGGTGTGCATTCAGTTGTTGAGATAGAAACGGGCATTGAAGGCTCTGTTGGCGATGGAACGGGAATTGGTGGCGCTGGAATGGGTAGTGCCAATGACTGGGGTCGAACGGCTCCTTCATATAGACTTGCACTTTCCAAAAGATGATGGTGACGCATACTAACTTCATAACCAGGACGATGTAATTGCGGAAGTAAATTTAACCAAAGACTCATTTTATGTCCTCTATAGTGTGATCGAATCTCCGTTATTCGTCCAGCCTCAAGGTAGAGTTGGTTTATAGCATCGTACGAGTCCCAAAAAGGTTGACTTGTCGAAGTATTGTTATCAGACCATGTTAATGGACTCGCTTTATTTGGATCCCTGAAACATATTATGTCCAGTTGTTTTTAATGTTATTGCTTTTTTTAAAAGAGAATTTATTAAAGAATATTTTAATTATTTTTTTTATTTAGGATACACGAAAAAAACAAACTAACTATTTTAGCACCCTACTGCTTTATCCTTTAATAGTATGTAACTTTGTTTACCTATTAAAGTATGAAATAATGTTTTTTTAAGGTTAAAGTAAATCCATACTAAATAAGTATAATGGTTATACTCTTATATAGTAATAGTGACGTACTTTAAAAGCATAAAATTGATGCCCGCGAAGTACGACATATAGTATACCTAAAATAGCAAGAGCTTCTTCTTTTTTGGTGGATAAATTCTTGCAACCTGCGTTTTGGCCTATATATCGAAATATCGATGGTTGGAAAGGGAGGGAGGCGTGGTCAAAACGCAGGTTGCAAGAATTTATCCACCAAAAAAGAAGAAACTCTTGCTACTTTAGGTAGACTATATGTCGTACTTCGCGGGCATCAATTTTATGCTTTTAAAGTACGTCACTATTGCTATAAGAGTATAACCATTATACTTATTTAGTATGGGCTTACTTTAAACAAAAAAAACATTATTTCATACTTTAATAGGTAAACGAAATTATATACTATTAAAGGATAAAGCAGTATGGTGCTAAAATAGTTAGTTTGTTTTTTCCGTGTAGAAGTACAGATTGTGGACACTTTTAGATTAATGTTGGTTGGTTTTCCATTGTACCCACTCGTCATTTGTCATAATTCTCGTCAACTGCCGCACCCTGGTCTAGTGAAAATTAAGTGACTTTATAGTAACTTTTAATTTTAACTATAAAGTCACTAAATTTTCAATAGAGCAGGGTGCGGTAGTTGACGAGAATTATGACAAATTGCGAGTGGGGACAGTAGCAATATTTTTATTTTTCTCTTGTATACATATATGTGAAGGATTATTTATATAAAGACATTAATTTTAAAAGAATAACCTCAAATATTAAAAAAATTTCTTGCGCGTACTGATTTTTAATTATTTATCCTCTACTATAGTTAATTAATTAATTTTTCAATATTATAAATTATCTACATTATTGTACTCGATTGATGAATATAAAATGAATTATTTGTTAATAAATATAATAAACTCTCATTATAATTAATTATTATAATTGTTTATAATTAAAATTGTTATAAATAATTATTTATAACAATTTTTCAAGTAGTGACAAAAACTGGAGCAAAAGTGGCCACAACTGGTGAAAAAGGTCTTTTAAAGAAATTTAATTTTTTTTTTAATAATAAACTTCTAACCCATATTAGTTTATATTTTCATCACAACATCGTAGAAAATAAATGATGTTGTTCTTGATGAAAGTAAGTTTCAAGCGGTGTGAAAACGACACCTTGCTATAGCTAGATCTAGTGTTAAAATAACATCCTTAGACCAAAGTTTGTTGCAGGTAACTTTAACACTAAATTTACTATTGAAATAACACTTTGTTTTCTTTGCATATATTATTATTATTAATAATAATACAACAATTATTCTTATTATTATTATTTTCAATGTTACTATTATTATCATCATTGTAAATACTTTTTTCTCTTTTCTGAAACAAGTGAATAGAAATTTAGTGAGTAAAGCGTATAAGTCTATTTTAATGAGGTCAGTAACGATTGTTAGAAAAGAGAGCGTCGTTTCTGACTAATGTGCCAAATTGGCGAGTATCTCCACTATATGTGGAGCGTTCTACTTGAAAATGAAAAATCAAGTTTCAGATTTTTGTTATATTTTCAATTTAGTATTTCGGTTGTTTAGTAAAATAAATGATTTTGCAAAAAAAAAAAAATTTCTAATATTTTTTACCCATCAGTTGTGTGCGCACATTTTAAGAAAAGAAAAACATTTATCAATATTTCACTGCATGAGTTTATATAGATTTCCAATAAATATTATCTATATATACGCCTTTCCCACAATTTCATATTAATGAATATTCTCTGATATTAGAACAGTTTTATAAACAAACACGGTATATTGCTAGCCAAAGGATGCGCCACATCAACGCAATCACAACTTTATAGAAGTGTAAGAGGCTACATACTCCTCGAATTACATCGGGCAATTTCAACTAAAACTTAAGTTTGACCAACTTTAAGTTCTAGAATTAACGTTGAGTTTGTGTAGATGCACAAGATATATATGTATATATGTGCGGGTGTGCTTCGAAAACTCTCTGTAAAACCATCAGAATATTTTACTGAAAATCAACATTCAATCTTCCTATATATATGGGTGATTAAATTTAAAACGTCATTTCGCTGTTCTGCCGAAAAAAAACTCCAGTTCAAATCATATATCGAATATTTTTCAGTTAATTAATTTTATTTATCATTTATTTTGTCTAATTTTAGATTTTAGTCAATCCAAAGTTAGAAATATAGTTATTCTTTATTAAAAGCAAAAATTCAGAACAATTTTTTTCTGCATTTTGTCGGCAAAAATTTGAAATTTCTTTGTGTTTAATTTATTTTATGATCAATTAACAAAGTTTTGACACTGAAAATTTATTTATATATTCATTTTGTTTCCATCATTTAAAAAAAAAAATTGTCAATCTAAAACAGTATAATTTATCATGAAATTCTATCAATATTCATTAATTACTGCTCGAAGATTTACTTTTATTATCCAAATATTTCTACAATTTAAACTGGTAGAAATTTATTTGAAGCAAAAATAAAAAAAAATCCACGTTTTTTTAAAAAATTTAAGCCTGGTTCCACAATAGCTAAATCGCACTATTGGACGAGACAATGCGCGCGCATTCATTATCAACTGTCGACAAAAAATTTATTTTACGTGTTCCACTATTTCCCACAATTTCAGATTGTAAATATTATTGAAATTATAAAAAAAAACCTGTTTTTTTAAATAAAATAAAAGTTTTATATTCTCCCAGGTAAAATGTTTTTCAAATTTTTGGTACACGTGAAATAAATTTTTTGTCGATAGTTGGCAATGGATGTGCGCGCATCATCACGTTCTAAAAAATCGTCTTCAAGACAGTTGATTTCCATTGTCCCCATTCGACATTTGTCATAATTATCGTCAACTACCGCACCCTGTTCTAGTGAAAATTTAGTAACTTTTAATTTTAACAATAAAGTCACTAAATTTTCACTAGAGCAGGGTGCGGTAGTTGACGAGAATTATGACAAATGGCGAGTGGGGACAATGGAAACCAACCAGACGATGCAATTTAGCTATTGTGGAAGCAGCCTAATCACCCATATATTTTCACAAATGGTTCGATTAACTTTAAAAGTAATAAATACTCGAAATGAAGAAAATAGCATTATATTTATATTATATTTTAGTATTAATTTTTAAACGCCCAATATTCTATTTAAATACAAAGTGTGTCATAAATTTGAAATATATCATATATATAAGATCAAAAGGTTAGTACTTGCAGTTGCCCCAACTGAGTACACTTATGAGCAGTTTCGTTTAACTTTACTTTATCCCCCTGAATACGACTTCCCTCTCTTTACAGCTTAGCTTTTGCAATCTGTGCTCACTTTGGTTATTGAGTTCATTTACATTTACACAACTCTGAAATGTCAAACGTAAAGTTAAAATATTACTGTCTTGTAGATTTATGAATATTATATTCCGTCGATATGGAAAATGAATTCAAAAAAAAAAGAAAAATAAAAAATAATATAAAATAACTTGGCTAATTATTTTTGAAATTATATTAAAATACATTGTACTTATACAATGTATAAACCCTCTTATACAAACAAAAATAAAATTATCTTCTTATTTTTAAGGAAGAATCTTTTTTTAAATTAAGGCTCAATTTTTTATTTTCTCATATATTTAAATTTAAATTAGCCTTATTTTAAAATTTGATTGAACTTTAGATGAATTTTAAAATAAGATTTCTTTTTTACTGTGAAAACAATAATATCCAATTTTTATATAATATAGGCAAAAAGTTGATTGAAGGAAAGCAAAGTCAATGATGATAGGAAAACATGTTTTATATATATACTACCTACTCAATATTCGTGTATATGATTCGCTTTTCTGGCAAAGTAATATGCTTAAACTTTCAACTTCATTTTTCACAGTCAGCATGATTTGCACCCTCTATATATTTTACCCTTCTTGATGTTTTGAAGTATTGATTGATATCACCATTGAATTCTGTTAACTGTGGTTTAAAGGAAATTTGGAATTTCATTACAGTATCATTAATACGTCTACAATGATCAATTAGACAAGTTTCATATATATACAGAAAACGCTATGTAATTATTCACTAATTGTGGCGTGCCAACAAATACTTCAAAAACACATTTTCTATCTCGAATTTTTTTGCAATTTGTTAATTTCTGGTAATATATTTTATTTCTTCATACACACTTAGAAAAAAGAATTCTTAATTTTTAAATCTAGAGATCTGTTTGAACGATTTTGTTTAATTTAACACAATTTGTAAGTTTTATTTTAATATATGCGGCAAATATCTATCACTTTCATTTAAGAAAATTACTTGTTTGAAAGAAAATGATAATAATATTATCATTTTCTTTCAAACAGATTTTCATAGCACTTATATTTCTTCATTTTCATTATAAATATACAAGAAATATTAAGTTGAAAGTAAGCAATTTCTGAATTTTTGCGAACTTAAAATAATCTTCGAATGATACACGAAAAATAATTTTTTAGGTTAAGAATAATGTCCAACTGTTATTAACAATAAATATAACATAATCAGTGGAACATTTGAATTGTGAAACTTTGCAGGGAATGGTAGCTTTTTTCGATACTTGGTGGGGAACTAGAATAGGCTGTCTCCGAATTGGGATTTTTATTGCACTTTTGGTAAAATTTATATTCGGGAAGTATGCAGTGTTCTTGTTTTTCCGTGCGAAAAAAAGGACACTGCATACTTCCCGAGTATACGCTTTATCAAAAGTGCGATAAAAATCCCAATTCCGAAACAGCCATAGAGAGAAGCAGGGTAAAGCAGGTGTGAAAACAATAAAGATATGACATATTTCGAACGTTCTACTTGAATTCCAATGGAAATTTACATGTGCCTATTCTAAACTAACCCTTAAGTTCAAATCAAATATATAGTATATTTGATTATTTTACAAATATTATGATTATATTATTATATTATGTTATTATAAAGTATATTATATTTGATTTGAACTTAAGGGTTAGTTTAGAATAGGCGCATGCAAATTTCCACTGGAATTCAAGTAGAACGTCCGAAATATGTCACATTTTTATATGTTTTCATACCTGCTTTACCCTGCCTTCCTCTATTTTAGTTCCTCACCAAGTATTGAAAAAAGCTACCATTCCCTGCAAAGTTTCACAATTCAAATGTTCCACTGATTATTTTATATTTATTGACATTAATAGTTGGACATGATTCTTAACCTTAAACAATTATTTTTCGTGTATCATTCGAAGATTATTTTAACTTCGCAAAAATTCAGAAATCGCATACTTTCAACTTAATATTTTTTCTATATTTACAGTGAAAATGAAAAAAACTGCTAAGAAAACCTGAAAGTTCATCATAAATTCTTTATATTTTGTGAGCTTTTATTTAATTTGAAAATTTCACTTTCTGGTACTTAAAATAAAGTCTTTGACATTTAATATCTCGAAAAGAAAAAAAATCGGTATTCTGAAAATTTGTATACTGGTCGGAAAAAATCTCAGCTTTCGTTTGCAATTATTTATTTTTTTAAAAATGGACCGATTTTGGTGAAAATAAAAAATTTATGTTTAATTATAGAAAATCAAGGTCAAACTTCAAAAATTTTTAAAAATAAAATTCACCATTGGAAAGAGCATTAAATAATCTTGAAAAAACATACCTGACAACATCTTTTTTATTGCATTTATAGACAACAAAAATTCAAGTAATAGGCAGTGTCAGGGAAAACTGATAAAATTGCCCCCCCGCGTTCTATGTCCCCCAAAATTTGAAAAAAGTCAAAAATTTTTTTTGGGATATTTTACTATCAGGTAGAACAACAATTTCTCCAGGTTTCACTTTTTCTCGAGAAATCAATTTTTCAACTTAGGACATTACACGTAAAATGCCTTCTGTATTTAACTTTTTTAACTAGAAAATTAATTAAAAATTAGAGCAATTGAAATTAACATTTAGATAGAATTAAAATTTGGATCAATTACAATTTTAATTGAATAAAATTTAATTAAATTTAAATTTGGATAAACTGAATTTTGGATTCATTGAATTGATGCTTGATTAGAATTGAAAAGAATTTAAATTTAGATCGATTACAGTTTTAATTAATAAATACTTTAACTACTTTAAATTCAAATTTACAGAAATATATAATATATGTCCTCATGAAAAGGGATTACTTTAGTTTCTTTCATAAGGGCGATATTTGCATTAATGTTCACGCAAAAATAATCCTTATTGTCATCGACAAAGTGGTCCCTTTTCATACGAACGTAAGCATATTATAGTTTCAATAATTTTTAAATCGATGACAAATTTTAATACATTGAAGCTTGGGTCAATTGAATTTTAATCATTTGTTTTTCTGTGTTCTCTTAATTTGTAAAAAAAATTTACGAAATATATCCGCTAGGGTGGTCCTTATTTTCAAAATTTTCGAATTTTTATCATTCCCGGCCAAAATTTTGTTCTAAAGGGAAAAAAACAGAGATACCTATTTTTTTATTTCGATTTTAATAAATATTTAATGGTGCCTCAAAGCCCTTGAATTTTTCCATGTATTTTAAATGGGAAAAAAACCCTTTTTCGTAAATTTGCTATAAAAAATTTAAAAATCAATATTTTTCTACCGGATATTTTTGTTTCTCTTCTCAAAGGTTCAAAGAATGACAGCAATTTTACGAAATTTTTCCCATTTAAAATACATATACATGGGAAAATTCAAGGGCTTTGAGGCACTATTAAATATTTATTAAAATCAAAATAAAAAAATAGGTATCTCTTATTCTTCCCCTTAGAACAAAATTTTGGTCGGGAATGATAAAAATTCGAAAATTTTGAAAATAAGGACCACCCTAATATTCGCCTAATGAAATACAAGTTGCATTTGAAATAGAAATAAATTTAATTTTTCAAAATACTATACACTTTTAGGGTATTAAAAAGAGGGAATTAAATAGAATTAATAAATGCACAATTTTATATCAAGAATTGTTAATTCAATCTTTTTTACCGAGTGGTGAATACGATATGGCGTCGAAAAACTTTTAAAAATGAGCATAGTTTTCGAAAAAATCGTATAATTCAAGTACTTCTACTTCTTTAAAACTTTATCTTCTATCGTGAAGGAACATTGATTGCTCCAAAGTGAAGTTTCAAATTTTTAAAGCTTTCTGCATAATTCACTTTCTTTGTTACGTCTGGTAATGTTTTTTACCTCATCAAAATTATAGTGTTTATTTGTAAATTAAAAGTTCATTAAAAAAAATAACTTTCAAATATGCTGGAAATTTTTTTTTTTTTTTTAATAGAAAACATTCACGGTTATTTCATACTAAAGATGAAATGCTCATTTAAGTGCACTGAGAGAAGAAAAGCACGGAATCTGAAATGGAGAAGTTCAGCATCTGTACACCAAGTTGAGCGCAGCAGCAGCGTCACTGTGTGATAGATGCCGTACTAAAATGTGAAATGGATGTTGTGCTTGGCTTGAGTATTGATACTGTACACAGATATGGAACTGTTCAGAAGTACAGTATCTGTCGGTCACTATGAGACAGATTCCGTATAACTTAGTTCACACCGCTGCCGCGCTGCTATAGAGCTTAGTATCTGAACTATGAACGACACCAACTGAACAAAACTAAAGAACGGATACTGACACCCATTTTACACGGCCGGCGTTCGTCACAGTACGGATTCTGTGCTTTTCTTCTCTCAGTGTGGGATGTACTTTTTTGTGGGTATTAATCATGATTAATTTTATTATTTGATGCTTACCCGCGTCGTATGAAGTTTGAAAGATAGTGAACCAGCAATCGCGAAAGATTCTCATCGACTTGTGTGTAGTTATTAGGTGTAAAAGTAGTTGAATCGCCTCTCAAAAGTGGTATTCCTAAAAGATACGGCACTTCCTCACCCCTTTGACTAGGCTGATCACCAGGTTGAAAATGAAGGAAATATCCACGTCCACCTGAGGCCGAGTGCAGAAGAGCGAGTCTCAAGAGAGGCGCTGCCACTTGACCATCTCCAAGAAGAGAAAGGAGTCCCTCGCAAATAGCCATGGGACTCTGTTCGCCTCTTTCCCAATCAGTATATTCATTTCGAAGGGTTGAGTAAATCTCATGTAGATGATAGCGATAAGAATTTCGAACGTAGGTACGAAGAATTCGATCACGTCTTGTTTCATTGAAACCATTCTGCAAAAAAAATAAATTCACAAATATATACTTTATGATAATAATATCTGAATTTAAAATTGATTCTGATAAATAATGTAGAAAAAAAGTGATATTTGTAATGTTACAATTGTAATAATAGGTTTGTAATAAAATTTGTTGTATACATGTTTGACAGTCACATACGGGATAATTGACAAATGTGCGGCTACATGACAAGCACATGCGGGATAAATGATGCGACCACTCTGTGGTTGAAGGACTAATAGTTGTTAATTTATCGAATCGATTTTAATTACCGGTGGAATTTATGTGCAATTTATTTTGTATACTTTTGTAATCAGTAACGACTTATTTTGTAATAACACATTAATGAACATTATACGTACTTGCAAATCATCTGCCGACAAATCCAAACAAGCTTCAACAGAAGTGAGACCCATTATTAGATCACGATCACCGAATGTTGCGAATTCCGAACCAGGTCCTGGTGTTAATGGCATAAATCCAGATGTGGATACAGTGGGCTGATAATTCTATTGAGACAGCAAAAAAAAGAATAATTCTAATTTGTTTATAATTTATTATGCTTTGAAAATAGATGCGCCCGCGCGCGCTCACGCATACAAGAAGGATTAAGTGTGTGCGTATTAATAATGCAAAGGTATTAACGGTCAACAACGCAATGCAATGTCGGATTTAACCAAGCTCTTCCTATTCGTCAACTGGTTGTCCTTCCAATTAGCAAACTCATCGATTGCCCGTCCGTCCAAAATGCAGAATGCGAAAGCCGATAGAATGAAAGAGAGTAATATGTGAATAAACCAAGTCGGAAATTTCTCCAGTATACGATAATTCTATTGTTCATTTTTCACCTTACGGAATATTAGAAACTGTTATGAATTAAAAATTATTAAACTTAACTATACATTCAATATAATTTTGATATGAAGTAAATTCGATCAATGGAAGGTAAAGAAAACACATAAAACAGATTTATGTTATTTTGTCAAGTTGCGACGTTTCGATGGTTTGGTTTACCATCTTCTTCAGGCTAATTTATTAAATAAAACACCAAATTAATAAATACACATAATCAAACACATAAATTAAAACACTAAATAATAATAATACCTGAATATTCAAAATAATACTACATTGCAACTAGTCAATGTTAGAATCCATTTTTAAAATTATCGTTAATAATTAAAAAGTAAAACACTACAAAAAATAGATACGCGACAATTTTCGTCATTTCGATGCGAGCATCAAGTCAAAACTGAATTAAAATTTGTTTTGGAGGAATACCACACGTGTTAAAAAAAGGAAGTCAATGAACTCATAGGTAAATAGTGTATAGAGGAAAAGACCTTCAAGATTCTATTATGAATTTAATTTTCTAATAAGAGGGAAATACGTTTTATTAAGAAAACAAATATCTTCTTTCTTATTAATTGTAGAATCGTTACTTAAAATTTGAATCATTTCGGAAATAGAGCGTTTTTTATAATTTTTTTCACGATCAAGTATAATGGTATTCTTCCAATCGAAAGTCATGATCAAAATTTAGTTGATGTACACGAACCACAGATTTATCGTTTTTATTATTTTTATGTTCATTGATACGTGTGTTCAATGAACGTTTTGTTTGGCCAATATAATTTGCAGGGCAACTCTTGCAATTAAATTTGTAAACAACATTCGTTTCTTGCCACTTCTCGGTTTTATCTTTACCGAGTTTTGTTATAGATTTGAGATTTTTATTAACAATCGGAATGGAATGAATATTATGTGGTTTAATAATTTTTGACAACTTAGCAAAATCAGAATTGTTAAACGGTAAACAAAATTTTAGGAATTTGTTTATAAACCAGAGATCGTGTTTTTTTGGAATTCAATTTAATTGAATTTTTTGCTGGATCGTTTTCGAAAATATTGAAAAAATCATTTTTCCCACGACCGGATTAGGCTTAAAATTTTTGTAAAAAGAAATAGTTTTTTTTTGAAAAAAATCGAAGAATCCATAAATATATTATAAAATAATACCTGTGTAAGTGATTGTGGCAAAACTGCACCATCGAAAAAAGGTGCAAATCCACATGTAAATCGCGGTGGTTCAAGTTGAATATCAAGAAGTTCATCGAGATTATGAAGTCGAAGGCAAGGAGCAATATCTTCTTTTTCAATGTCCCCTGAACAACCAATTTTTTCAGCCACACGTTGTTTAATCACAAGAGGTTCTCGTTGAACAGCCCATGGTGATAATGCCGACCCTCCAAGTAGTACAACCCTTTGAATGAGATCTATAAAAAAAAAATGCAAACAAAACAATTATTTTTTTATTCTAATGAAAATATTTAACCACCGTCCACAGTCATAAAAATGAGAGACATTTTAACACACATAAAAAAAAATTGTTAATTTAATCTCTAACTTTATTATAGAAAGGTCAAATTCCTCAAAAATTTCTTTGAAAATAAAATAATCATCTTATTGTGAGTACGAAAATATTAATTAAAAATATTGCTTTTCATCCACACTCGAAAACTGTGAAAACCCTCTTGTAACTTTCAAAATAAAGTTTTTAGAGTAGCAGTGGAATTGTTTCCGCCAGCACTATAACACTCCAACTTCCGTTAACATTTGAATTTTAAATTTCAATGAGTAACTGGAATAAAACTTGAAGTTTTCAGATACACATGTTCCACATAAAGACTTATATATCATAGAATTTTGTTTTTAGTATTATAAAAGAAGATAAACGTTGCCAATAATGTTGAAACTAAAATGGATGAAAGAAAAAAAACAAATAAATGTGCGACAATAAAGATTGAAAACATAATAAAATATTGTTCGTATAAATGGAACAACAAATAATATAAATGGTTACGTTATTTAAAATAATAATGAAACACAATTTATTTATCGGAGGGGAGTATTCTATTTCGAACCACGCCACAAAATAACCACTTGATTAAAACAGATTTTTATATTTATTTAAGACCATAATTATGTAAATTTGAAATATAAAATTTTATAAATTAAAAAAGGATTTACTTTTTCTGTTGTCTGAATAATTCTAATTTTTTGGTGAAAAGTGCAAACGAAATATTCGAATTTGATATATGATAAATCTAAGAATGGAAGAAAAAAATTTTAATTCTAATGCCTTTTGCAGAATTTAAATGCTCTATTATACAATGTAGACTTGAACTATCCATAAATAAAGGACATGCGATATTTTTCAGGAAGTCTGCATCAAATAATATGCAGTAACTGGGAAAATATTTTACAAATTATCATATTTCATGGACTGTTCTCTTTTTTTGATCAATTTGTTCATTGCTTCAGACAGAAGTCTCAAAGGAGAAAAACGAGAAGAAGTAAAAAAAAGTTTAATAAAATTAGAATGTAACAAAAAATTAATTCGATTATTTTTTGTCAATCGATTACTTGACTATTATCAAATAAATATTTATTATTTAAGTCAATTGAATGGTATTTCATACATTTTTCTGGATATAATTCGATTGTGTAAATAAAAATACTCTTTTTTAAAATTATAAGAGAATAGAGCATAAAAAAATTTATGCGACTGTGTAATATATTAATGATTCAAAAAATTAAAGAGAATGTTAATCATCATTTTTTTATGTAAACAATTAAAAGGAATATTGCATTCTTAATTCTTTGACATGCAGATTATATATCTTTTTCTCTCTATCTCTCTTTTGCACTCTTTCCTCGATGTCTATTTAAAATTACTATGCACTAGCTGGGAATTAAGCAGTGCGAACCCTTTTATACATCCTTACGCTTTTGTCTCTGCGATGCTCAACACTATACACTAAGGTTTCGTGTGTACCATAGGCATCAGCGGACGATGCATTGTGTCTTGGTATTAGAAGTGCCACTGCCAGGTTCGTTAGCAGAATGACGTCTCTGTGGTGATACTTGAGAAAGCTTGTTAAATCTACACAACACTATTGCCGCGAGCGCAATCCGCGACATGGATTCCTCATTCTTACCCTCTTTCAAGGATCCTTGTGTCCAAAAATCTCAACTTTTTTTTACAATTTTCAGAAGTTGCTAAGAAATTTGACAACGTTAAATGTAGAGAGGTGTAATACTCAAGTTTAATGAGAAGACAGAATTAATTAAATTACAATATAAAAAAAAATCTTGATATGGTTCAATTTATATATAGCCACTCTTATAAATTATAAGATTAAAAATTTTTTAAACTTGTATCACATATATTATTTAAAATGTATTTTTTTTCTAGTTAATAAGAGAAAAGTATATATATACCAGTTTTAAAAAATATCATTCCTGTTAATTATAAAAAATTTTAATTTGAATATTCGATAATTCTTGCCTGACCAGTGAAGCATTTTTATCACTATGAAATGTAAATGCCAAAGCAAAAATTTGCATGAATATATATACATTTTTTAAGCATGACCTGTCAATTAGGAACAATATTTTTTCATTATTACCATTGCATCGTCGGAATATTTATCTCTCAACCCAAACAGAAATTAACGATATTTTAAAAATAAGTTTACTATTTAAAATTTTTAAAAAAAGAAAAATAATTACTTTTTATTTAGATAACAAAATTCATATTAAAATCATGTTTCTTTAATTATTATTATTATTAAATATATATATACATGTTTTTAATACCTAATTTAATGTAAACCACATTTTGCGATGTATATTTTAATACGTTAAGTAATTTATCACCTTTAGCCATCGGCGAAACTGCTAAAATGTTTGCCAAAGCAGCACCGGTTCCATGTCCAAGCACAGCAACTCGTTCTGGGTCTCCACCAAAAGCTGCTAAATTTTCTCTTAACCAATGTAACCCTGCCACCAAATCCATCAAACCATAATTACCTTGAGCACTCCCTTTTGAACCGGTTTTCAAAAACCCTGAAACATAATAAAAAAAATACTCAATTATAAAAATTCTTTAAAAAGAATTTTTTAAACAAAATATCCCCTAATTTGTAATTATTTTCGCATATAAGTTATTAACCATGCATATTCATTAGCAAATAATTAATGATTCATTTTTCGATAATTCATGTCTTTCACAGGGAAACAAGACATGACATATTTATAATGAATTTCTCGTGGAGGAACATCAAAATTAATTTAAATAATAATAATAGCGTATATATATATATATTTAATCTATCAAAACGAATTTTAGTGCGTTAAATAATTAGATAAAATAATTATATGCATTGAATAATTTTTATTTTTAATATAAAAAGAAATGAAGAAATAAAAATGGCATTTGCGAATACGAGAAAATGTTCTATTCTCAAAATCCCTTGCATACTTTACATAACAATCATGAACTTTTTATGGGATCTCGTTCTGTATATATGAATCTTAAGGGACAAACAAATTAGAGTAAATGAGAAACTTGCGGGCAAATACTATTAAGAAATAACAGTTTCGTACACTTTGTGAACGCATTTAACTCTTTATCAACCTGAATTCATTGTACTTTTAAAAGGTCATAGTCCGATGTATTACATTCCAAGCTCATTAAGAAGAAACCCTTAACACGCGAACTCTTTTAAGTCTGCTGCAAGAGTTAACGTAATATGATTGTCTTGCATCTCAATATATATGAACGTGTAAAAAAATATCCATATGTAAACTTACGTAATATATATCTACTTTAAAAGACATGTAAAAAAATTATTATACATTTTTATAAATATAAAAATTATGCAATATTGATTACAAAATTTGATACAAGAAATGAATTTTCTTTTTTTTTGTTATATATATTTTTCAAAAAACAACAAAGAAAACTATCTTTCTTCATCTTTCATATGTCCAGAAAGTTAGATCGGTAAAATTAAAATTTTAAAATAAAAATATTATGTCCAAATTATGCTTGACTTGTGCTCAATTGTGCAAAAATTCATTTTTTGAAAACTCAAAATTCTATAGAGGAGAGTGACAAACAATTTTTTATATAAAACTTGATATCGTACTATAAAAATGTAAAATATTATTAAATTATGAGTATTTTGCAACATTTGTTAACGTTATTTAATGCAAAATATATATATTTACAAAGTTTGAACAGAATATTATTATTGAAATAATTATTCGGTACCTTCAAAACAAGAAAAATGTATCAAGTTTGAAAAACTTCAAATTTTTTTATTTAATCACAATATAATCTTAATAGAATATGTTGCATTGTGTAGAAAAGAGTTCAAACTTTATGGTAATACCAAAAAATGTTCAAAAATATATAAAATTGACATATTAATATGTCATTAAAAAAAAATTTCTTGTCACTTTCCCCTATATAAAAAACCAAAAGACATTTTTAAATATCAGAATTAAAAAAAAATTAAATGTTAAAATTTTGAAAAAACAAATATTGTGCTAAATTGTACTCTTCTGTCCACAAATTAATTTTTTTTAAATATTGAAACTTCTGGGCAAAAAAATTAAAAAAACAATTTTAAAAAGTCTAAAATTAAATTTTTCAGAAAAAATTGATATTTTGTCAAATTGTATTCGATTTGTGTTCTTTTATGAACAAATTCATTTTTTTTAAAAAACCCAAAATTGCGGCTAAAAAATTTAAAAAACATTTTTAAAACGTCAAAAATTTTCAAAAAACAAATCTAGTGCCAAAATTTGCTCGATTTGTGATATTTATTCATAAATTTATTTTTTGAAAAAAATTCAAAATTCCGGGCAAAAAATTTGAAAAACATTATTAGAACGTCTAAAATTAAAATTTTCAAAAAAACTGATATTGTGTCAAATTGTCCTAGATTTGTACTCTTTTATGCAAATATTTATTTTTTGAAAAACTTAAAATTTCGGGCAAAAAACCAAAAAGTTAAAATTTTCAATAAACCAATATTGTGCTGAATTGTACTCGTTTGTGCACAAATACATTTTTTAAAAAAACTCAAAAATCCGGGTATAAAAATTAAAAAACAATTTTAAGACGTCTAAACTTAAAATTTTCAACAAAAAAAACTTTTTTGTGTAAAATAATATTTTTTCAGAAATTTTTGGTCGAAAACATTTTTTTGTTGAAAATTTTTTTTTCACATTTATAAGCAAAAGAATACAACTGTGCATAATATAAGTTTTTTTTTTGAAAATTTTCAATTTCAGACGTTTTAAAAATGTTTTTTACTTTTTTTGCCTAGAATTTTGAATTTTTCAAAAAATGTATTTGTGCACAAACAAGTACAATTCAGCACAATTTAACACAATATCATTTTTTTGCCCGGAATTTTAAACACAATAGTATTTAAAAAAATATATTTATTTTTTGAAAATGTTAATTTTACTGGTCTAACTTCCTATAGAAATAAGAATAGAAGATAAAAGCATCTCTTTATTTTACATAATTATGGACTTTTAAAAAATTATACCTTTTTAAACTAATAGTAATGAATATTAGTATTATCTTTAGGTATATATATAAAATTTTTAAAGATAAGAAGCGTTTTTAATAAATAGTCGATAATTCCAATATCATAAATTATTCATTAAAAAGTTCTATAATTTAAAGGCGATTAATTCAATTTAGTTAAGATTTATAACTTCTTTTAAAAAAAAATTATTATTAAAATATTACTAAGTTTTTCTCTGATCTTCTTTTTGAAATTTTTTAGTTTTAATGGATTTAATTATTTAATTTCCTATTTAAATAGTCCACAATATAATTAAAAAAATATAATAAATTTTACAGAAGTGAAGAAAATTCGTTGATATGCAATAATATATAATAATCTCATTATTATAACAAAACACTTCAAATCATAGATTTTCTTCGTCAAAAATACTTTCCTAAATCTTTTAATTTCTTTTTTGTTATTTTATTAATTTTCAAAATAATTTGATATTTAAGATGTCGTTTATTATAAAATCGATCGGAATAATGACACAAGACACGATCCAATAAAAAAAAAAACCAAATGATTAACGCGAGTGTAACACAAAAACAACAACACCCCAGGAAAGTTTGAACGATTTTTCTCAGCTCGAATACAACACTCTTGTATAAATTTATAGTTTACAATATACTATGTTATATAAATAAAAAAAAGTTACTAAAAAAAATAATTAAATAATTCGAGAAAAAGAAATAATTTAAAAGTTCTCAACTTCAGAAAATATCAATAAAATATAAATTAAAAACACGAGAGATATCACAAATTAGAACACTGATAAAATATAATTAAAAATTACCTCAATGATCTTACCGTTGAAAAAATACAACATCTAGATATTTAAATATTCGTTTAAAAATTTTAAAAAAAGAGCAAATATTCATCAATTAATTTTTTTTATAGCTTTCTAAAATATCTTCATCATTTTTAGTATTTCTTTTCATTTTTTGTGTCGGATGAATAATATTCTGCTGTGTGTAATGAACTGCGGTCATCCTGCGGTTTGACGTTGAACCTCTTCAAAGGGAATGAACCAAACAACACCCTTTTCAGAGAATTCATGGAGAAGATTAGCTCTTAAAATATTCACTGGACGATTAGTCGGTGCTTAAAACCATCCAGTATGCACTAGGATTGTCTGTTGAAATGACAATATGCACTTGGTTGAATACCTTTGTTTCAAAGAAAAAAAAAAACAAACAAAAGAACCGGAGAAATGGTTTTTCATAGGTAATTGTGCGATGAATTTTTCAATGAAAATGGTCATTCATTATACTGTCATAATTTTTTTTTTCTATTGTGTAGGTACTCGTATAAAGAAAATAGTTACAAGCGTCTCTTTATCAAAATGTATTATTTATTATATCGTACCTTCATATAGCTATGAAATTATAATGAAATAATGTAATATTCACCGAAAAAAAGAACTCGTTTTACGACATTAAAAAAATATAAATCGAATTTAGGGAGCCTCTCCTTCTGATGATGAATGAGAACGGTGTAATTGTTTGCTAAATGAAAATGGAAGGAAATCTTAGTTTCGAGATCGATAGACCTGTCGAGACGACATACGAAATTGGATGGAAACCAGCAAACTCTCTTGCCGAAGTTTATGGAAACTGATTTTCAACATTGCAGGAAACTCGATCCTAAGTCGATATTACCTTCTCAAACTCGAGTTTTCTGTCTTTCTGAATGCAGTTTATATATATATACTATTTAACGTAATGAATTTATCATTTCTTTAAAAAAAAAAAAATTAAATCATTTATAATTTTGAAAAAAAATTTACATATTACTAAAAGGAAATTACAGAGAAGTATTCAGTAATTGAATTGAGTATCGCGAGAGAGTAAAACTAATAACTATTTCTAACGGAATTCTATCCCAGTTTAACTTGGAAACCAGATCGTTAACTTTGACTATATGCCTTCCAGGTATACAATGAATTCTCTTCGTACGTTGTTAATTCTATAAAAATCACGTAAACAAAGCAATTCTATCTCTTTAGTTGAAATAAAAGACAAAAATTTACAACAAAAAAATGTCAAAAATAGTTTCACTTTTTATTTACATGTAAAATTAAATTTTAATGAAATCTACTCTCTAAATTTGAATTATTAATAATTTTAACTAATTTAAATTAGTGACTCACTTTTTCCTTCTGGATTAGTTAATTTTTACTAATTCAGAAGTAAATTGTATCACTAATTCAAATTAGTTAAAATTTTTACTAATTCAAATTTAGAGAATATTATTTTTTTTATTTTTAAATTTATCAAAAGGTTAGCTTTAAACTGCTATTGGGATCTCTCTTTGGGGGCGTGGTTTATGTTTTTGACCTTCTTTCAGTTAGTTCCATTTTTCGCCACTAAGGTATAAGTGATTCTGATTGATGGACGCGACTTCCTATCAATAGTTCAAAAAATCTCACCAGATGGCGTATCACAGTGGAAGAGATCCCAATAGGATCTCTCAGACCGCTCTGGCGGATTGTGGGGACTGAGTTTGGATCGAGTTCAGTCCAAACTTTGTTCAGTTTGGTCAGAGGCAAAATATTGTAATAAATTAATGAAATAAATGATTAATAGTGATAAATAAGTATTCCAATTTTGAATTGTCCAGAAAATTAAAAGCTTTGTATTTGTATTGTCAGTAAAATTTGTTAAGTGTTAACGACAAAAAAACAATTTTACAAGGGCAACAATTCGTCTAGTTAAGCATTTTAAATCGTTTAAATTTGGCAATAGTGAAATCGAAGTTGTTAATCAGTACTTATATCTTGGAGTCGTTTTTCAAAGTAATGGTACATTTTGGGAGACAGCAAAAAAAGAATATTGCATCGGCCAACGTAGCAATAGGCGCAACGTTGCGAGTGATATACGAATCTAAGGCGGACTCGTGGTCAACAAGCTCTTTGATAGTATGGTTTGTAGTACACTATTTTATGGGATTGAGACCTGGGGCCTAGACCTGGAAGACCTTTTGTAGCGTGTTCAGTTATCATTTTTTAAGAGCTTACTTCAGCTTCCAAAAAATACACCAAATTACGCGGTCCGTCTAGAAATAGGCAGACAGCCGTTGTCCTATTTGATACTTAAAAGAGCACTGTCTTGGTTAGAAAAAATTTCCAAAATGTCTAATCCGCGGTATCCAAGACAGTGTCTTTTAAGATTAATGAAAATTTCTAATGCAGATTCTGGTCAAAACAGTTTCAATTGTTTTACACAATTAAAAGGGTTTTTCTTGAAGGGTGATCTCGGGGATTATTGGTCCTCGAACGATTTTGATCAATTAATTAATAATGCAGGGGAAATTTTATTGCATTTTTCAAATACTTTGTTGTCCAGGGACTTATCCTCTCGGGCTCGCTCGGAGAGTCTCCAGGTTTGGCCTCACTTAGATTTGCATAACTCTGTACAACCTTATTTAAGAAATAGATTGGGTCTGATTTGGAAGAGAGCCTTTGCGCAGGTCCGTTTGACTAATAAATTTTACTCATATTTATTTTTTAATCAGGATAGATTCCAGCTTCCTTCATCAAATAAATGTTCTCATTGTGCGAAGAAGAGCTCGAAGACTTCCACCACTTTTCGGTGGAATGCCCGTTTTATAACACAATTAAAAATACTAGTTTTCCGGAAATTGCTTTGCTCAATGACCACGAGACGTTTTGGAAAAGTATCTTGTCTACTTCAGATTCGTCAATTTTAAAAAAGTTTATTAGAATGATATACGAAATGTTAGTTGTTCGTGTCCCTAGTTGCTGAGAGTCGTGTGCTATGTGTGTGATACTATAATTGTATATATGAGAGATTCTTTTTCAATCGCCCCAGCCCAAAAAGTCAATGTTCTGGGATTGGCTTCATACTTTGGTAAATTGTTGTCCTATATGATAGTAATAAATCCCTAAAATATAAACTAATTAAAAAAATATTTGTAGAAAGTAGAGGGGGTTGAAGTTTTGACGTTAAGGGTAACATTGTCATTTTCAAATCCGTTTAACTATGACAAAAGTTAATGGATTTTAATTTATCTATAATGAATTTTATTGCATTTTTCACGTACTTTTCAAAAATGTATACGAAATTTAAAAAAAAAATTTTAACCCCTTTTTTTCAAAATCAACCCTTATTTTTCGATTTTCACCCCTTCGGGTATTTTTTTTTTTTTTTTTTTTATTTTCATTGGAAAGCTGAGGTTTTTTCCGATGAGCTATGTAAATATGAAAATGGGACAACAATAATTTTGTGAGTAACAGAATATTAAAGTAGGCGGTGCCGATAAGGGGTGTACCTGGAGATCATCTTTGAGGATTTAGATAGGCACCGCCTAATTTAATATTATGTTTCTCACAAAATTATTGTTGTCCCATTTTCATATTTACATAGCTCATGGGAAAAAACCTCAGCTTTCCAATGAAAATAAAAAAAAAACAAATAAAAATTCCCGAAGGGGTGAAAATCGAAAAATAAGGGTTGATTTTGAAAAAAAGGGGTTAAAATTTTTTTTTTTAAATTTCGTATACATTTTTGAAAAGTACGTGAAAAATGCAATAAAATTCATTATAGATAAATTAAAATCCATTAACTTTTGTCATAGTTAAACGGATTTGAAAATGACAATGTTACCCTTAACGTCAAAACTTCAACCCCCTCTACTTTCTACAAATATTTTTTTAATTAGTTTATATTTTAGGGATTTATTACTATCATATAGGACAACAATTTACCAAAGTATGAAGCCAATCCCAGAACATTGACTTTTTGGGCTGGGGCGATTGAAAAAGAATCTCTCATATATTTGTTTTTTTCTATTTTATATAATGTATTTTGTATAATATTAATGAGTTTTTTAAACATGTATATACATATAAACTTTTTAAATACTTATTTATCACTATTAATCATTTATTTAATCATATTTCATTAATTTATTACAATATTGTGCCTCTGACCAAACTTGTTTGGAGTTTGGACAGAACTCGGTCCAAATTCAGTCCACAGAATCCGCCAAGGTTATTATTTTATTAAGCGGTATTACTTAAATATATAAAAAAAACATGTAATAATTAATTTAACATTTTTCGCTTATTACATTTTTTTTAAAGTACAATATGAATTTTTGCTTTTCAGTAGCTTCATATATTTTATGAAAATCTGTTGAGTAACAACTGTTATAAAATTTAATTATAAATTTTATATAACCTAAATGAAAATGTCGAGTACAGCGGTCTATTATGCCGACGTTAGTTGTTATAGTGAAAATAAAAAGTAAATTTATAGATAACTTCTGCGCATCTTTGGCGCGTAACTAGTCATTGTATAACCTACAATTTTTATTTTCACGTTTTCATGATGCTGTAACAGTACTTAAAAAAAAAAATTTATTTGATTCAAATACTCGATTACTTGACTATTATCAAATAAATATTTACTTGAACCAAATAATTTTTATTTAAATTAAATAAATTCTATTTGAATCAATAATTTCTATATTTAAAACAAATATCAAGTTGACTTGAATAAGATACTTTGCCCACCGTATAATTGAAGTCAATTGAAATCTTAAAAATGTTTCAATTATGACGAGGGAAAAAATATGATCTTAAATAATTAAATTAATAATTGTTTAAATGTGCATCTTTATTAGTAATTGTATCAAAAAAAAAGATTAAAATAATTTTTTAAAATCCTTTTGCAACAATTATATTAAATATAATAGTAATAATAGTTACTTTTATGAACGCGCCGTAATTGATGCACTTACCCTATATTTTTAGAAAACCAATTTTTTTTTATGATTAGTAATGAAGAAACTTTTTAATTTACCTAAAACTCCAAGACGGAAGTTGATAGTAACAACAATTAGGCGACCATAAGCAGCAAGAGCAGTTCCATCCAAAGGATTTCCTGTGCCCCAAGAATATGATTCTCCATGAATAATTAGTAAAGCCGGCAACTGATCCTGAGTGCCACCTGCAATTTAAGTAAATTACGTTATGAAATTACAATTCCCATATATATTATTCAATTTCAAATTTATTTCAAAATAAATTAATTAAAATTTATTAATTTTACATTGAAGATAAATAAATGTATATAAAAGTTCTCTATTATTGTCAGTTGAACAAAATTTTTATAACCATTAAAAAATCGAATCATATATATATATATAAAAAAAAAGAATTTAGTGGGACGCAACTGGAATGAATTTCAATTGTTCGTGTACGGTTTAAGTTCCATTTTTCAGTTTTTTTTTTTTTATTTCGATTGTTCTCTCCAGGCTTTTGTATAAAACAATTGTTGTTTGCTGTCAAGTGAGAATTCATGAAAGCGCAATATACAGAATACTGAACACATACAACTTTTAAGAAGTAGAAAAAAAATACTTTCTCCAAAATTATATTATAATTGCGATAGCGTATAAACAAAGCTTTAAACTTGTTTGTTAAAATGTTTTTGTGTGTTTAAAAAAAAAATAAAGGAAAAGATTTTAATTACAAGTTAAAAGTAACAGCTCTCGCGTACAATATGAAATTTAAATCGCAGTAGTATAAATCTGGTTTAGTCAGACAGAATATTCGCTATAAGCTTGTACAATTACATTATTATATTGTTATAATTAAAAATTATATATGTGTTTATATTAAAGTAAGCTTTATAAAGATTGTTTATTAAATGTTTAAATATATACTGAGTCTGGAGAAAATTTCTTAAAAGTACGTTTCAAAAGAGCAGGAAAATATCTTATATTTAAACACGGACAAAAATTAATCCCTAAATTAAACATTTAATGTGAGATTTTAGCATAAAATATCTTTGAAAATGAATGTAAGATGTAAGATCTTTAAAACTAATATTTAGAATTGTGTCTAATTAAAATATTTTAATAATGTGAAGACACGCACTTCTAATGTATAAAAATAATCCCGGCAAGAAGAAGCTTGGAATAGAAAAGAATTAGTTATCTCATATTCGTATACGAAATTGAAAAATTTTAATTCCATTTAATACCTGATTTTTCCACTTTTTCGAAGTCATCGCAATATGATAGATGGCCAACGAAATGAATTCCATACTTAATTCTAAAATCCGTTTTTTCTAGATATAATACAAGAGGCCATATAACCAAAAAAAAAATTGTGAAACTAACAATAATTTGCTTATAAGAATAAATTTATTTCAAGTTTACTCGAAGAAAAATGGAAAAACGAACCTAAAGTAACGTTTACTACTTTAAAAGTAAAATCGAAACTGTCCGCAGTTTCTGCGCATTTCTGACATTTTTTACTCCAGAAATAGTAAAATTTATTCTGAAAATAGTAAAATTTACTCCTGAAATAGTAAAAATTATTCCGGAAATAATAAATTTTACAATTAATAAAAAATTGCCAGAAATGCGCAGAAACTATAGACAGTTTCGGTTTTACTTTTAAAATAATAAAAGTTACTTCATTCCTTTTTCCATTTTTCTCTGTGTAAATAATTAATTCTTCTCCGTGTAATTTATTGAATGTTCTTTATAAAAAAAACATAATTTTTGAATTCAATTATCCGTTAACACATCTAAGATTTTGTTGCTTTGGAATCCAAGACGAATATTCTAAACACACGTATATATCTATATATATATATATATGTATATTCAGTCTTTGAATTATGGAATATCAGAACTATTGCGAAACTATATACAATTTGAATCTCCCAATTATATAGAATCGCAAAACATCTCTTGTTCACACGAAAACTATGACAAATTGTAACTTGCTCGTGTATTTGGGAATAACCTGAATCTTAACGATCAATAGAGCATGATTAATCGTCGCAATTAATAATCGGAACTCCCTATTGTGGTATTTCACTCAATTTTCCTTTTACAGTTATACAAATGTTTTTATGTTTCTCATTAAATGTGACATCAATTTTACATATATATATTATGTATACACTATTTTATATATGAAATAAATTGTAAATAAATATTTGCAGACTATTAAATCGTGAATATTTAAATACATGTTTTCATAGCATCTCTTTTGATAAATGTTTTGTAGATATAGATAGAAAAATAGATTCACAACCAAAATAAATCACTTTACTTTTTTTTTTTTTTTTATTTACTTGATCCTTATAGACGCATTAGAGTGACCTAGCAAATTTAAATTTTGACATTTGAAAATTCCTAAGACAAAGTGTGAATGGCGTTTCTCACATTTTTCTTGCGAAGAAACTCAAATATCATTTTTCCTTCAGTGGTACGAGTCATATCTGCTCATAAATCATGGTAAGAGGGTTTGCGTGTTGCCTCCACTGCCTCTCGGACAACCTCGACTATCTAATCCGCTGGTGGGTTTTTAGGTGACTGTCGAGTGGGGTCAGGTGTACGTGGCAACAATCGAGCGAACGAAATCTTTTGTTCTTCCGGAATATTAACGTGGCAATTTTTCTTCTTGTGTCCCCAGAAAATGTAATTTTTATACTTGATTTTTGACGCTCTGCTGAATGTCACCAATTTGGTTTTCTTTTTATGGGCAATTTGTATTTTTTTTCAGATTAATTTTCTAATTTCACATTACAATGAATGCGCCAACATTAATTCTGGATTTTTTTATAAATTATCTTATATTATTAGAAAGGAATATTATTTCTTTGTAACATTTCATTTAAAATTATTAAATTCGAATTTTTATATCAATTTGATATTTTTAAATTAACTATATGTTCATGTTATCATCTCAAAGTAAAAATATTCTTTTTCAAAGTAGAAGCTTTTTTTTTTTTGAAAAAAGAACATAGCCAAAGGAGTACTTTAACTGTTTTCTCTTTGATTAAAAGGATCCAATTACTATTGAGTGGATTTCCTTTTGGGAGATTGAAGCTACGTTTTCCACATGCCAGAAAAGACAAAATTCTAAAATTTATACCTATTTGGTACACTGTTGACTTGCAGGTATCAAATTGATCCCATTTTTAAAAAAAATGGAAATTTTTTTACTTTTTACTGAATGAACAGTTTTAAATTATTTATAACAAAAAGTCCATATAACTGCGAAATATTTAATTCTCAATAATTCAATGTAGTTTTATTGACAGCTTTTTATCTGTTATTTGTGTTTTCAATGCCACTTTTGTGAATCTTTTTGTATAGTTCTACCCAGCGTTTAGCACAGATTTTCTATACAACATTGTGAAGTACATTTTTTATCTATTTGTCTGACAAATAACTAAAGTTGCAGTGTTATTCTTTTTTTTAATGCCGATGAATAAACAAATATATATATTAAAAATTTAATGGTATATTGGTATTTATACTCTCTACATCTAAATTAATAAAATCCTACTAATTCTTAGTAAACATTGTTAAGTATTAAGAAACCTGAAAAATTGTAAATTTTTGTTTGATAAGATTAAATTCATTAAAAATATTCGACAAAGCAGAAGCCAACTGCCAGTGTACGACGTTTTGTATTACTAATAGTGAACACTAGGAGCGCTACCTTTACTTCACGTGACTATTTCACTAATTGAATTAGTAAATACTATATCTATTTAAAAAGAAAAAATTCTTACTAAATTTAATTTATATTTTGCATAATTATTTGTAGTATAAAATAAATTTATTAATTCTTTAGTAAAATATTAAAATACTAGTTGAAAAATTAAAAAAATTCTAATTTTTATCTTTTAACTTTTTGTGTGACTAATTCAGATTTAGAGAGATAATAAGTATTGACAAATTTCTCGAAATTCTATATGGAAGATTCTCCAAAAAGAGGTCATTTTCATGTCTTTATGTCATATCATCTAAACATCTTATCATTGAATTATTTGCTTTCAAACAAAATTTTTTATCAATTAGACCAATATACCATAACAATTATTCAAATATAAATGTCCTCAAAATTCTCTATGCGGTCACGGCATCAGATAAACTGTTATTTAATAACTATAAAAAATACATTTTTTTATCAACTTATCAGGAAATTAAAGAAAAAATATCTGACTTGAATTAACAATAGAAAATAAAAAATATATATTTATCTCATTATCAAGTAAATAAAAAAAAACATTGCGTGTTTTCATTAAATCGGATGCCGTAACATGTGATAAATTTAGTATTTTATATAAGAGAAACAGTCAAAAAACCATAAAAACTTAAAGATAGTCACGACAAAACCAAGTATTTTTTTTTATTTCTTATTGTTTAAATTATGTAGTAATGGATTTTGTACAAATGTCGCAACCTAGTTGCCACCAGCAGACATTTTATAAAGCAGGTACGAAGCAAAAAAAAATTGTCGCCCGTGCCTTTAAATTTTCTTTAAATAATTATAATAAACGTGAAATTTTTTCCACTGTATATATATTTATTTATTTATAATTTAAAAAACGATAAACATAAATCAAATAATTGAATGAATAATACATATTTAAAGATAAATAATTTCAGTATGGGAGGTTTCCATTGTCTCCACTCGCCATTTGTCATAATTCTCATCAACTACCGCACCCTGCTCTGGTAAAAATTTAGTGACTTTATTGTTAAAATTAAGTTACTATAAAGTCACTAAATTTTCACTAGAGCAGGGTGCGGTAGTTGATAACAATTATGATAAATGGCGAGTGGGGACAATGTCAACCTTCCTTACCCCTTAATGTTACGTGTCTGGATTTAGGGTTGGGAACATAAACTACCTGAGGTTATAACCTAAAAACTCAAGAATTAAACGTAAAATGTGAAAAAATTTAATAATAAAAAAACTGATATTAAACATTAAAAGAGGTTATGTTTAGCCTGGATTGCTAATTGAGGTTAGTTTCCATTTTTATTTCAATAGCTGAAGGCCTGAGCATAAAAGAAACGTAACCGGGTTGGTATCCATTGTCCTCACTCGCCATTTGTCATAATTCTCGTCAACTACCGCACTCTGCTCTAGTAAAAATTTAGTAACTTTATAGTAACTTTTAATTTTAACAATAAAGTCACTAAATTTTTACTACGGCAGGGTGCGGTAGTTGACGAGAATTATAACAAATGGCGAGTGGGGGTTTTGGCAAGTGGGGACAATGGAAATCAACCACCGGAATCGTAATCGCAAACGCAATCGGAAGAATGAGTTGGAGAAGGATAGACATATTGTTTTTCCTTTTCTAACTCATTATTCCGGATGCGTTTGCAGTTACAATTCCGGTTACGTTTCTATTCTGCGTTGGCCTTAAAAGGACTGAAAGCCTAAATGTACTGTATCAGTAAAAGTCTTTTGCCTTTAAAATAATTTCGTAATCGCTTCAAGTATAACTATATACTTGATGCCAATAAATTGATCGAATTTCCAGTTACTTTATAAAACAAAATTATTCTCCCTTGTAAATGACTGGAGTGAGATTTTCGATGATTAAACATATCTTTATTCATAAGAAACAAATCTATTTTTAATGTGATTTATATGTTAATTATTAATTAATAATTTAAAAATATTTAAAAATAAAGTATATTAATAATTTAATCTTAATGATACATTAACTTGACTATAAAAATTGTTCTAAGTTTTAGTATTACACGTCAAGAAAGTTATATGACAAGGTTCACGTTTCTAGTGCTTGAATTAATAGCCTCCTTTAATAGAGTGCCATTCTCACATATATCCGATGCACCGCAGCTCATACATTCACGTTTCTTGTCATAGGTAACGCACATAATCATCGCTGAACGGCTATCAAGCTTCGGTTAGAAGTGACTACAGTGAGTTGAAGCGACGAGAGACGAGACGGAACGTCCACCTGTTGCAGAGACTGACATCCTATGCCCCTTGGTTAAAGGTTTGCCGGACCAAGTGTAAGCTAATATTTAGTTACAATGTGAAAACAGTTTTTGTCTCATCAATTTTCTTTTTTCTATATACGAAAAATCTAGATTATTTTTCAAAAAATTTTGAGAAATAAAGAAAAAAATTGTTTTTTTTTCAAAATAACTAGATTATAAAATAATAATAATAACTACATTCTTGAGGGGATCAATCATTATATGCCGGCAGATGTTGGAACAAAAACCCTCAGGATATCTTCTATAAGTTATGCAATAAGTTTTGAATTGTATTCTGGTTCATAAGACGCACTAAATTTAGCTCCAACATTTACTAATTAGTTTACTTTTTCCCCACTTGACTATGTAAAATAAAAAGTAATGTACATAAATATTCAATCAAAAATTTAAGTATTATCAAATGATTAATAAATTTTTTTTTAAATTTCCTCTGAAAAATATAAATATTAAATAATTAAACTAATAAAAATATTTTCCACAAAATTATAATTAATAATATTCAAATATAAATAACTTTTGAAATTTAATATATGCTTTTACCAATAATTACTTTAGTCATGATAATTTAAGAAAATAGGTTTGAAGTAAAATGCAATTAATAATGCATATATATATATATTATTATAAATTTATATAATTTTCTATTTCATGTATTCGCATGATAAATTTAATATTTCATTGGATTATTTGAAGTGTTGCTTATATTAAACGTTTAGGTAAATCCGATTAAAGCGCAAACGTTATTAGTTGGGCAATTCTAAGGCGATGAAAGCGAGCAAACGACACTAATCACAAGTCAGAGAGAATACTATCTGGCAGTGAAGGTTCCAAGGAAGTCGATATTTCCAGTCTGTTGACCTAATCGTCGTATAATCGTGGATAGACAGGAATCTCTTCAAGAGAAAGGGGTGTGATCACCGGATAAGAAGTGTCTTGAAATTGAGTTAACCGCTGGTCCTAAGCAGGAAGAGAATCTTATGAAAGCTTATACAGCTTTTCGAAGTTATCTCTTTGATAAAATGCAGCGCTGTGCTCTTAACATATATATCCAATATTTGACAAAATTCAATAGCTTGAATAAATAAAAAATTTTAAAAAGCAAAAATTCGAAGAAGAAAAAAATGGAAAAAGAATATTTGAGTCTTTAAATTGAATCTTTGAACTTTTCTTTTTTCTTTTCGAAATAACTACTCTTTAACAAGTGCTTTTCGCCGGATCTTTTAAAGTTAGAATGAAAAAAGATACTCGACTAATGCACGAAAAAAAAAGTACGTCTTACTTCTTGAGTTCCGGAATTTATGTTTAAAATATGCAACGCTTCTTCACTCTTTTTAACTTAAATATATAAAACTACTCTTACTTATCTATAATCACTTTAATACTACAGACTTTGAATTCTAATGCGCATTTGAAAAAGTGTATTCTATATAGAATAAGCGATATTCATATATATGGGTGATTATCCATGTAGCGTAAAATGTCATGTTCCTTATGTTTTTTTTTAAAAATAAGTTGGATATATTTCCAACGTGAAAAAATAATTTTAAAAACAAAATTCAAACACGCTAAGAGAACGATATTTTTAGTTCAAACATTATTATATTTAATTCAAACTTAGTATATATTTTGTTTGATTCAGTTACACTCAGAAAAAAATTCGTTTAAAGCAACCAAATTTTGGTTAAATCAACAAAATAATTGCATTGATATACAGTTGATCAAACATTTGGTTGCATAAACCAAACGTTTATTTAGCTCAATCAAATTTTTTCTTTGTTCAAAAAATTTATTAAAATAAACGAAACAGTTATTTAGATCAAATAAATATTTATTTGAATTAAACAAATTTTGTTTGAACTAACCAAAAAATTGGGTAAATACAAAAAAAATGGTACATTTGGTTAAAACATATCTTTTTTCTGAGTGTAGTATATTTTTAATATGCATTTTATATTTTAATATACAGTTAAATATATTAAGTTTAAATGAAAAATAATTTATGCACTTTGCATACACAGATAAAAACAGAGTAAGACACATAGAATAAACTTGAAATTTAAATTATCTCCGAACAATACATAAAAAATAATTTTTAGGTTAAGAATCACTTACATTTTACCAGAAAAAAATAAAATGCCCCGCATTAATTAGCTTTTCACCCTCTATAAAATTTCGACTTAAATGCGTCGAATTTGTAAAAACTAATATTTCAGTCAAAGAAAGCTGCATCGTTTTGATTTTCAATTAAAATTGTAAATATTTTAAATCAGACGGAAGTCCCCGACCATATTGGTTAGTGACGTCACGGCCACCGTTCCCAATAAATATAAAATAATCAGTGGAACATCCTAATTGTGACACTTTGCAGGGAATGGTAGCTTTTCCGACACATGGCGGGGAACTAGAATACAGATAATAGCAGGATGAAGCAGATTTCAAGAATATAAAGATATAGAATACTTCAGACGTTGTACTGGATTTTCAGTGGGAATTTACATTTAAATATATATTTCTATATTTAAATTAAGAATTATTTTTTCTTAGTGTACAATTAAAACAATGTTAGTGATTGTTCCCGTACAGCACATGATATTGTGTAGATATCCAAATGACGTCCCGTTCAGATGCCGAAATCGAGACGCCTACTTTTTCCTCAATTTTTAAATAACCGAATTTTTAATTAACATAATTTAAAATTACAAAAGTGTTAATAAACCGAATTTAAATATTTCAGAATTTTTAAAAAACCGAATTTTTATAGTTCCAAATTTTCAGTTTACACAATAAAAAAATAATCGAAATACCATTGGTTATAATTTTTATGTTCTCGAATATTAAAATTACAGAAAATGAAAAGAGCAGAAGTTTCACTTGACAGACTTTCTGTTCAACCTAATTGCGATTGGACAAAATTTTAAGAGAACAGAAATATCAGTTAACATAATTTCAATTTTGCAGAATTTTTAGTTAACATAATTTAAAATAAACAGAAATGTCATTTGACATAATTTTTATGTTCTCGAATTTTAACTTTTCCGAAAATAAAAATAATAGAAATTTAACTTGACAGACTTTCTATTCAACCTAATTGCGATTGGACAGAATTTTTAGATAACGGAAATATCAGTTAACATAATTTCAATTTTGCAGAATTTTTAGTTTACATAATTAAAAATAAACATAAATGTCATTTGTCATAATTTTTATGTTCTCGAATCTCAAATTAACCGAAAATAAAAACAGCAGAACTTTCATTTGATAGAATAAATCCATTGTTGATGATTGTTTAAACAATGAATACACAATGGATTTGGTATGTCAAGTGAAACTTCTGCTGTTTTCATTTTCGGTTAATCTGAGATTTGTGACCATAAAAATTCTGACAAATGGTGTTTCGGTTGTTTTTCAATTCTGTAAATTAAAAATTCGGCAAAATTAAAATTATGACAAATGATATTTCTGTTTTCTTAAATTTCTGTCCAATCACAATTCGGTTGAACAGAAAGTCTGTCAAGTTAAATTTCTGTTATTTTTATTTTCGGAAAAGTTAAAATTCGAGAACATAAAAATTATGTCTGTTACAAACCAGAAAATTATTATAAAAGAAAAGAATCAAAAACAATAAAAATTCAATTATTTTATGACAGGGATTTTTGAGATAATCCAAATTTGTTGGTCAGGGGAGGCACCAAGCTGCCAGAATCTTCATAGGACAAGAATGCAAGTAAAAGTCCAAAAAAAAAAGAAAAACTGTTTAATTAGTATGGGATCGTTTATTCTTTTAGAAACGTATCTGCCAAGCCACGTTATTTGCTGAAATGTCGGAATTTAGGATTTTTGAACAATGGGCAAAACAACAAAATTATATTGCAGTATTTAATGCACCCTTTTTTTTTTTATTAGTAAAATTTTTTTTTTTTTTTTATAAAATTTACAATTAGAAATATATATATATTTTTTTTATGTTATAGTCTCACTCAGAAGGAGTGAGACATGATAAAACTCGAAACGCATAAATTTTAGTAATTTAGGAACGATACAATTCTTTTTTTTTTTTACTCACCACACAGCTTACAAATACCGACGAGTCTTACAATTTTATTGTCGCCTCTCATCGGGCGAAACGAAAATTTTCACACAAAAAAAAATAGTCTTTGTTTTATACCAGTGTATAAAAATTGTCCTTTAAATAAGTTTTGCACTTTTCGACAAAGTAGCGCGCGAAAGCACTTTACGGGTCCAACGGGTTCGAGCGGCGCAGGCACCACGCGTGCGGACTGGCCGGTTCGAAAACAAAATTTGGAGAATTAATAATTTTCCGAATTTTCCCGAACGCGTCTTCCGATGGACTTCACCGGCGTGAAGTGTTCAATTTTGTTTTTCGTCCACCCAAAATTTGGTCACTATCTCCGTAGTGGACCTCCAAAATTGGTACCGATTCGCGGACGGGCTAAGTCCCGGCGTCTTGTATCACTTTTATGCCTCCAGAAACCTGGAGCTGACTCGCGATCAAGAGTTGTACTGCCATGATCTTAACACTCGGACCAGCCTCTAACCATCGGTTCTGGATTTAGGTGGGGTAATTTAGTGCAATTAGGATTTTGAATTTTTAGTAGAAGGGACAGTCTCTTGAGTCTATTGGTTATTTATTTTTTGCTGACGTTTTTGGATCTCACACCGCTAGTGTGAGAACGGAAAACGTCCAGACGCAACGTGACACCTTCTTGGAACGACATTTTGTTACAACCATAGTTATAAATTATGGTTCCAGAAATTTATTATTTATTTATAAAAATTCCTCTTTTTTTAACTGGTTAAGGTAGTAATAAAAGGAAACAGCAAATACTTTTGACTTTACTGTTTTAGTCAAATCGAAATTTCAGAGAGAAACTCCACTCCGTAAAATGTGTATATATCACATTTCACACTATGATAGAAAATAGTCATATTATTTTACTATTCTTTTCTCTTGATTGAGATTTTGTGTTCCATATGACAAGTGCACATGCATTTGTTTTGGTATTGTTACTTGTAGACCGGCTGACCCAGAGGGGAGCAAGGGGAATTGAGATAACAGAGACGATGGACAGAGGCTGACCCTGAACGCATCGCAATTACAAGTATTGGTGTATAGCGCGCGAGTACTGATGTACTTTGCTTAGCTACGACCGTAAAGTCCATGATAGTGTGTGTACCTGCGTTCGCTCTATGCCCGTAATGACCCATAAGTAAAAGAAATACATATGATTCTTCCTTAGAGGACAGTGACATAATCCATGTGGCTTTGTATAGCAAAAAAAATAAAATAAGGTCCCAAGCTTATCTCCCACA